AAAGTCGTTGCACTGAATTAATTTGTTCCTTTTAACTATTTAGTTTTTTTCATTGATAACCCTATATACCATAAAATTCACCCATTCAAAAAGTACAACCCAGTGGTTTTTAGAATATGCACAAGGTAGTCCAGCCATTACTACTATCTAATTTCACAATTAACTACTTAGTTTTCATTGAACAGTTTTCATTTGGTCTTTTTATATTACAGCATTAAAAAAGTATTTAATGTATTTCTGTCACGGTTCCCTGAGACTAAGAGTCAAAAGTAGAATATTTTTATAAGATGATAGGGAGAGTTCTTCTGAACATATTATTATTTAACATACCCATTTGAGAAGAATAATTTATAGTTGGTAAAATGGGGGCTTGCCTCTTACTGACTTGACCAAGTTTATGATTGTGGTAGTAGTTGTGGGGGTCTTTACAGTAGACACCACACTGGACACAGTTCTGGGGGTATCTGGTTCTCAGCTTCAGTGGCCACCAGGAGCTCTGAGGCACAGCACTCTTACAGCAGCTTTTTATAGAAAGATGAATCCCCTCTTCCCACACTCAGCAATGTGGCTCTTATACCCAACCTGTAGGAATTCCAGGGATTTCTTTCAATAGAGGACAGCACTTCTCAGTTCACTGTGTCTCTGTTCTTTTCAGGATACACAGTGACCTCAGAGTGAAGTCAGACAGGTATGGTCATCTGCAATAGCCCAGATAAGCCCGTTCTTCCCATTCCCTTCCAGTGTGTCTTCCTTTGCTCTCAGATTTTTCATAACTCACAACTCTTTTTGACCTGACCTAAACTGATGTGAGATGGTTTGTATTTTTATTCATTTAGTGCATTCAAACATATTGCTGCAAAATATTCATGTAGGGTGGTAAGTGCTACAGTAGGTATGAAATTACATTTTGAAAATTCTAAAAATTTTGAATTCACACAAGATAAATTTAGCCTGCATTCTTATTTGCACTTACTACTCATCCCCTGCTCCACAAGGCCTTATTTATCTCTATTCTCCGTCATCTCCTGTACACATCAGGTCCTTGAAAATCTTGGATGAGGGTCAGCCATTTGCTTGGCAGTATGCCACTCAGCTAGATACATGTGCTCATTGGGTGTGCTGACTAATTTTTGATGTCAGCTTGACTGATTGAGGAATACCCAGATAACTGGTAAACCATTGTTTCTGGCTATGTCTATGAGGGTGTTTCCAGAAGAGATTAGTATTTAAATCAGTGGATTGAGTAAGAAAGATCTGCCCTCACTCAATGTGGGCAGGCACCATCCAAATGGCTGAAGGCTGGATAGAATTAAAAGGCAGATGAAAAGTGAATTCCTTCTCTCTCTCTCTCTCTCTCTTTCTTTCTCTCTATTTCTCTCCTGGAGCTAGGACTTCAGGTTCTCTGGTTTGCAGACTCTGGGACTTGCACCAGTGGAGTCTCAGATCTTTAAACTTAGGCTGAGTCATAATACCGCCTTCCCTCGTTCTCTAGCTTGCAAAAAGCATATTGTGTTACTTCTCAGCTGCCATAGTCATGTAAGCAATTCCCCTAGTACTCTCTGCTCTTCTGTGTGTCTAGAGAATCTCATTAATACAGTGGGTTAGCAACAAATGGCTTTTATCTTAGTTTGAGGCACTAAGTTAGCATCACTAGGCTTGAAAATAGCAGTACGGTAGACCAGGGGCAGGAGCTCTGCCAACCAAAGTTAACTGTGAATACAGCAGGGCCCATCACGGTGGCTGCTGAGGAAATGGCCAGGTATTGCCAGAGAATGAGAAGGCTTGCACACCACGGCAGACTCACTACCTAGACAGGCTGCTCCTTGCTTCCTTGATCCTGAAAAGCAAGTAAATTATTTCTGAAGCTACAGAAAGGAAGGGGATTGGGCTACCTAGATAGAGAAGCATTTCTTGTTTTCTCTGAAATAGAGATTTGGACTTTAGGAGATGGATTGTTTGAGACCTTAAAGACTGAAAATTTTAATATTTGTTCAGTCCATAGAAAGAGCTGCGTCAAGGATTTGCAGCCACCCCCTGTGGACTGTCATTGTGTAACTTCACTGTGATATGATTATGAAGCTATTTATTTCACACTCTCCCCACTATCAAAGTCATAATGAGAAAAAGGGCCTCATCATAATTTCTGTGTATTTTGGTAACAAAGGAAATGGCTGTTGATGATGATAATAAAAACTGCTGTTCATAAATTTGAACCCTTTGTTACCATTTATAAAAGAAGGCTTGTATCACGAGCTCATTAGTAGCTGAACTTTATTTTGTCAAAGGAAATGGAGTCAAGAGAGATTATGTTTCATCTTTAATATGGCTGTTCAACAACAATGCTATTATCTTGAGTTTCAGATGAATTTAATTGAACCTTAATGAACAAAATTAGTTGTTTTATGCAATTAGAATCCCATTTAAATGGGTTACAAAATGAATAGGATAGTGAATATAGTTGACTTGATTTTCCTAAAGACTGACTCTCTGGCTGTTTCTGCCTCTAGGTTTTCTCTCTCTACTGAGTAAATGACAAATATGTTTAAATTTAAGAAGAATTTTGACTTGCTAGATGTTTTTTTTCTCCCAGCTGTAGGAAATGTCTGGGACCTCCAATGAGGAATATAGGAAGGCAGGGGCAAATACATCTGGCCTAAGGGGATCAATTACAGAGAACTGTGGTAGAAATGCTCTACTGGTCCAGTGTGTCCAGTATCTTGAACATATGATCTCTCCCCCTTACCTGTGATGAGGGATGTTGAATAACATCTAACAAAAGATAAGGCAAGGGGCAAGAAGATGGCATAGTGGTTAGGTCATTGAACTCCCACATGGCTGACCATGGTTCAAGACCAGTGGCTTCAAACTCAAGCCAGGTACGTGTGCATGCATGACCAAGATCCCAGGAGAACAGAGTAGAAGGGATTGCGGCATGGCCATTCCCTTCTGGGTGTGGGGGGGTGATATCTCACTTTTTGTTTCTCTGTCTCTCCAGTGAGCGCATGCACTGTATAAAAAAATCTCTCAAAAAAAAAAAAAAGATAAGGAGGGTTGGGCTTCAGGTCAGGCAGACTCAGGTGCAAATCTTCCTTCTACTACTAAAGAACTTTGTAACTTAGGGTGTATTTTTTAACTTTTGGACATTCGTGTCATCAGTATAATGGAAATAGTAATAACTATTCCTTAAGAGTGATGGTGAGCATTCAGTGAGAGAACATATGAAGGGATTTCACAAAATTAATGGGAGAATAAAATTAAAGTATAAGTTTATTTTAGTGCAAAACATTTAAAAAATCCATGCCTCGTTGTTTCATAATAAACATTTTCTATGAACATTTAGTATATCCCTTATATATAAAGAATTTGAGATACTGCCCAGCTCAAAAAATGCTATTGTTGTTATTACTGTTCTTTATCATCATCATCATCATCATCATTGTCAGTCTTCCAACTTGGAACCTACACATGCTGAAGACCATAAAGCCCACCTAATTTAAACTAGAATTTCTTGTCAACAACTAGCTTTCTCAAGGATTGCTCTAATCCCTCAATTAGAGGAAAGGGATGAAATGAGAAGTCCAATTTGCTTTGGGGTTTGAGAGGGTTTGTATTCTTCTTGGGAAGAGGAACAGGAGCTGGTAAGACTTGATATGAGGGAAAAACATGATCACATGAAATTCCTGCAGGTCACATCAAATTAGTTCATTCTCTCATCCATGATAGGAGGAATTAGAAAGGCCATCCCTGTGGACCTTGTGAAACACTTGTTCTAAAACACTTGTGATTCAGACTATTGCAGACTCTCCTGCCTCATGGACCACATTTCAATGAGCCACCTTGCTAAGAAATCCTTCTGACTTGCATCAGAATTGCT